TGCAAGCAACCAGACACGCCACAGGCAGTAACTGAAGTAGGGAAGTAATCTGACATTTATGTTGCTTGATTGACTTTGCGGGTCTGGAGCCAGCAGTCTGGGCAACTATTTAGAGAACCACAGTATGCAATGTAGTGATGATTATGACTTCCTACTGTCTTTTTTTTTTTTTTTTTGTCTTTTTGCTTTTTATCGGTACCAGGGATCGAAAAATGACTGCCTGCTTGCAAGGCAGGCGCTTATGCCGCTGAGCTAAATCCTCAGTCCCCGACTTCCTACTGTCTTAGCCCTGTTTTGTTTTGTTTCGTTTCATTTTACTGTTCTATTTCACTACTTTTTAAAATAAACATCCAGGATATTTCCACTCATCATTTACTGAGCATTTAACCACGCTTCAAGCTGGGGAATCTAGTGAGCAGCAAGATCACTAACTGTCCTCAGGGAATAACCCAATGGGAAAGATGTACAAGTCACTAACCCACAGTGGACCTTGGCAAACACCATGGTTCAGAATGCTGTAGGCCATCCCAGTTAAAGGGCACCTAACCCTAAACCTGGGGAGGCTACACTAAGTACTTGTTTCCCAGATGGGTGATCAGCAAGAGGATGGCCCGTGTGGTCTATCTTGGGGGTTAACACAGTGCCTGGGTCATTACAGGGTGAGCAGAACCCAAGGCAAATGCGGGTGTCAGCTAGACAGGAAAGCACACAGGGCAGTCAGGCAGTGTCTGCAAGACAAAAGGGGGCATTAAAGGAATGAGGTTGGAGAGTTCATCTGCTCAGATGAGGCTTCGGATGCCACCTAGAGAGGGATGTGGGTATGTTCCAAAACAATTCAAGCAGCAGAGAAGAGGAACTAGGCCGTACAGTGACACTACATAAATGACCTACGGCAGTGGCAGTGAAGCTGGAAATGAGTGGGTGAGGCCAGGAGCAGGAGCACATCTGGCCATCCAAAGGTCAAGATGAGTAGGTAACAGCCAACTCATGGACTGTTCAGGACTACATTCAAAAGGAAATGAACTCAGTTCAGTTGTCAGTCTAAGGAGCCCAAAGCCACAGCCTCAGGGAGTTCAGGAGGGACCATGATGGCTGAAGACAGAGGGAGTCCTGCAGAATAGAGAAACCAAGGAAACAAGATAAATCAGTTCACTTGGTTCATGAGAGGAGCAATTTAAGGCAGAGCCCTTCCCACCCTACCACGAGCGCACCTCCCATGGTCTCTGGCTCTAACCCAAGTTCATCCTAGTGTTTGAAGCTTGTCCACTCACTCCTGGCCTTTCTAACACTGTCCTGCTTCCTGGAGGCCGGTGGCGGGAGCTTATGATGTTACAGCATTCCTATTCCTATTCCTCTGAATAGTATGTGCTTCAGTGCTTTGACAAGTGCTACAGGGAAAGCGAAGACTAAGATGGCTGCACAATGGTTCAACCTGTGTGTATGTTGGGGTTCTGAGGAGACAGGAAATCTACAGTTCCAGCACGGTGCGTATCTCAATGTCCTGGTATAAAGAACAGATATAACCAAAGTTGATGCTGGGTAATGTAAATAACATAACTAAGGTCACTATTGGACTGCCATATGAGCACATGCAGCTGAGCTGGCTGGGCAGGCGGCATGAGCTGAGCTGAGCTGAGCTGAGCTGAGCAACTCAACAAGGGCACATCAGACGTTTTCACGGCTCTTTTCTTCTTTGGGTTACCCATTTTTCAAGTGAAAATTACCAGTATGAACTGAGGACAAGACAGTGCCAAAGAGACTGTTACACAAAATTATATAGAGCATAACGTGAATATTCATGTTTTTTGGCAAAAAATACCCCTCTTATTAAGCTCCTTGTCTTACAAGGATGTGAGAAGAGCTAATACCTGCCTTTACTTGAGTCACTTGCAGCTGCCAGGCCCGGACTTGAAGCATCTTCAAGTCATCTTGTACAAAGGGGACAATGAGGGTGAGAGGACAAGGGAGCTGCACTGTTGGGACAGTCTGGTGAGACTGACTTCCAAGTACCTAACAAGTGCCACTATTTCAGTTCCTGTACTTAGTAGTGGATTAATCTAGGAGCTAATGACACATCTGAGAACCTTTCAGGGCCATTTTGGAGTGGGACATTGGGACCAGCAGTCAGGCCCACAAAACTTCTGTTAGCACATAGGTAACATGATCACTGCCCAGAGGTTTCCCCTTCCTGAGCACCAATCTTGTTAGTGTTGAGTTTGCAGCAATGGTGAACCTTTTAGAGTTCAGTGATTCAAACAGCCAACTGTAACACACACTACAAATGTACCAATGCTGTTCTAGAATCTCAAAGATGCCCTCCAGACCAAGAAACTGAAAGGTCCACTCACTTCAATCTGCTTCCTCATGAAAGACGTAAGACAGGGTGACAAGAAGTCCCAGTGGAATCAAACTATTCCCCCTGACCTTTCCAGTTAGTGCCAGTTCAGCCAGTTTAGCCAGTTCAGCTGTAGGGATCCATTCTTCTCCCTCACCTCCAGCCCCTCCCAGCTTTCTGCCTGTGCTTGCTGCCTTAAAAGCACAACTCCCCTAATTTTGGGGGGAAAGAAGTCTTATAACCCAGACTGGTCTTAACTTCACATTCATGCAATCCTCTTGCCTCAGCTTCCCAAGTAGCTAGAATCATAGGCATATACCACACGATAGCCTATTAAGGGAAATTAAATAAGCTTAAATACTTGCACAATTTTTGTTTTATTTTGACAAGGTAGGCTGGTTTTGAGCTCACTAGGTGGCCCAGGAGAGCCTCAAACAAGCAGTGATCCTCCAGCTTTAGTTAAAAGTGTTGGGACTACAGGCATACGCCACATACCCAGCCACAACACTTTCTGGATGGTTTTCAGAACAGTATAGTCTCTGAAAGGCCAAAAAGCCCTTAGAAGGGCAATTTCTTATAGTCTGTATTACAAAGGAACAAAAAAACCCCACTGAATTGACTCCCCCAAAATATAGAAAACTAAAATGTTTAATTTTGCAGTTAATAAGCAACCTGCATTTTCTTAAAATAGACTAGCCTATCTTGAACAGTGTTTATACCAGATGATCAAGGTGGATCTGAATTACCTTACCCACATTACCGCTGTTTTCTTGTGACCCCAAACCACCTTGAAAACTTGTGTGGAATTGCTCAGGTGTATGCTGCCCAGTAATATGCTTCAACAAGACTTTAGGAAATTCTGATAGGCCAGGGCTAGGTCCTTGGCCTACACTTAACCTCTCCTCCGCTCTCTCAGAAGGTTGGGCTTCTCAACCTACAATCTCAAGACTGCCTCCCCACCTTTATCACCTTGACAGGTTAATTGCTTTGTCTTAAAGGAGAACCTAGAAGGTTCCAACACTCTCAAAGGGATGTTAAACCAAAAACAGTTGAGTGCATTTTCTGTTTCTGAGCCACACAAAGAGTTCATTTGTGCAAATATACACCAAAGTTTTCTCCAAACCCTTTAATACTCCAGGAGCTGAAGCAAAAGCAAGACTTGATTTGTACATATCAGAGAATTCGGTATGTTATTTGTATGATGTGCAATTTCACCATAATTTTTCTTCTGCAGTAACTTTCTTTTTTAAAACAGGGTCTCACTATGCAGTTCAGGCTGGCCTCGATTTCAGTGATCCTTCTGCCTCATCTTCCCCAGTGCTGAGACTACAGGGATGCCACCACACCCAACTTGTAGCAACATGTAATTAGTATTTCTGTCTACAGGTTGATTGAACAATGTCATAAAGGCAGGCAGAAGTTGGCATACATATCAAGGCAAGCAGTAAGAATCATTAACCACTTGTCCACTAGGCACACTGTGCTAGCTTTTACTTACTTCACAACCTCCAGGTAGGCCTACTTAAATTTTAAATAGATTGTGGAACTGAGCAACAGATCCTTCCTCAAAGTAGCAATTCTATGTGCTCTAATATGTATTTTTTATTTCCAAAGATTTCACATGAGTGTGCAACACTAACATGGGAATATGCAAGCTATTACTCTAAAATACAGCAAGATCTGTTTCCATCATTACATGAAACTTTATATGGCAACACCGTAAAGTTTCTGGATGGGAGTAAATAGCTGTTTTTGCTTGTAACTTAACAGTTTTCAAAAAGTGATACTTAATTTTTAAAAAAAACCCTGTAATTCAAATGAAAATAACTAATCAGCTATAAGACGAAGATGGCAGTTTTCCCTCTCCCGCATCTCAGCTGCCAAGTCCCATCCAGCTACCCTTTCCCACATCTGTTCTCCCTTTGCTTGCCCTCTATCCAGTCTGGGTTGGCAGAGGGCTTCTCTCTTACCAAACCTCACTATGGCAAGATCCCAAAAATGAAACTGGACAGACAGCATGCTTGTTTTAGCTGCCCCCCCCCACCCCAAAACCAGACTGTGTTAAGTGGAAAGCACTGCTTCAGGATTCAGATCACAAGCCTGGAAGGTACCTGAGGCAGAGTCCTCAAATACACACCCCATGATTTGATGTTTTAGGTTTTACAATGAGAATGAATACTTGGTATTAAATTCAGGTAAGGGTAATCACCCTTGTAGCTAACCAGAGGTAGGAACTAGAACTACAGTCCAAACTCTTCCCCACTAAAACAAAGGCTAAAAACAAGTCTGCCAAGGCATGGCGCCATATACCTGTAAGCCCAACACTACAGAGACTGAGACAGGACTGCTGTGAATTTGAGGTGAGGCTGGGCTATCTACAGTGAATTCAGGATTAGCCTGGAATACACAGCAAGATCCTATCTCAAAAAAGAAAAAAGGTCTGGCTGGGCGTGTGGCACATGAATGAGGCAAGAGGATCACTGAAAGTTCAAGGCCAGCCTGGGCTACACAATGAGCTCAAAGCCAGCCTGAACTACAGAGTAAGACTGCCTCAAAAACGTCTGTAAGCCAAAGTAAGTCTAGCACAGAGGAAAACGTCTTGAGAGCGCTCCAGATTCTTAGGAATGTAGGCCATACAATGAGAAACGTTGCTTGGTTCAAAAGATGCCTTAAGTACCAAAGATCTTTATTCTCAATTCTGAAATTGACTCAGTTCTGAAATGGCAGATAATATGTCACTGTGAATTTAAGAGGTCCCAAAAACTCTACTCAAGTCTAGTCAGTATTACATCCCTCTCTCACTGTATGAGATAAACTAATCAATCTTCAATATACAGAAGTTGAAAGCAAAAAGGGAACAAACATTTTTACAGGCAGATGATCCCAGTTACCTCAAAGGTTAATTTTCAGACTTACATAATCATAGACCTGTCCAATTCCAGTGAAAATCAAGAGATCAATTCCAGATATATTAGGTCAGGCAAGCATGCAAAATTCAGAATTAAAAAGCAAAACAAAACAAGTTCTGGATGGCCAAATACACTCCTCAGGTGAAGGTGAACTGATAAATTTTTTTGTGGTACCGGGAATCAAACTTGAGCTTGCCAGGGAGGTGCCACTGTGCTATATCCCTGGTTCGTGAAGGTGAATCTGAAGACGCCAAACAGAACCAAAAGGAGAAACTGAAAGGGACACTTCAAAATTACCAAAAGTGATCCCCTGGTTTTAGACTTGAGAGTGAGCAGACTCCAACTGGTGAAGCTCATATGGTGAGATTAGGTACACCGATCTAATTCCCGGTACTACTTGTAGTTACACGTACTTAAAATACAAGTACATACCCAGAAACACCAAGTACACTGATTTAAATAAAACTGTTTAAGACTGATAAACAGGAAACAGGTGGAGCTGTTAGTACAGCACAGCGGCATACCACATGTTTAAGAGTAAATGGAAAGAAAGAAGCTTTCATTTTAATATTTTCAAAAATACAATCAAGTCTATCCAACTCTCATTTATAAGAAAATGCCTAGCTTTAAAAATGTACATTCATGGCTCTCCTACACTGTTGCACTGTTTTCCTTTTTTGTGATGCTGGGGCCAAATCTAAGGCCTGATGCATGTTAGACAAGTATACTCAGCTACAGTCCCAGCCCTTTTGCCTATTTCTTAAGCCTAAGCACTGCGTTTTTTAATGATATATGTACATTTTAATTGTAGGTCTAAGGAATAAACAAAATCCATATTTTGGTAACTCATAGTGTTTTTATAAAATGAAAAGCTCTCTATTAAAATACACTTTTCACTGGGAAAAAATAAATAAAAGACAAATGAATCTACCCAAAGTAAGCACTAACTTTGGTAGATTTCAGTGTAGGACAGTCCATAAACAAGCATATATGCCCTTATTCCCCACAGCTGTTCAACTTCCAAGCTAAGAATTTTTAAAATCTTTTGAGATTTTATTATGTTGAGATTTTTCATTCCACATCATCTTCAGCCAAGCTCTGAGCACTTACAATTCTCTGAAAAAAATAAAATAAAAATTTAAATTTGGAAATTATCACAAGCATTAATCAGGATTCAAAGTTTAATATAACTCTTTTGTAGTCAAAGAATCAAATTTTGCTAAAGTTCACCCATACTGACATTTAAACACTAACACTTTATACATTATTACCTAAAAATGATCATACTACCAGTTCCATATCAAAAATTCAAATTAACAAAAGAAGCATGACATTTTAATATCCTACGTATTAATCATTATGTAACTTAAAAAGAATTTAAAACATCATTCCCACACAAACTAAGAATAGCAATGACTTTTTAAAATAATTGTTCTATGCTCTACCATTCCATCTTTTGGCTCAAAGCCACTGAAGAAGGAACATGGTACAGTATTTTTTTTCTTTTTGCAGTGCTGAGAACTGAACCCAAGGGCAAGGGGGTCTATTACAGAGCTATATTCCCAGCCCGTTTGTTGAGACAGTCTCTACTAAGTTGCCCAGCTTGCCTTAAACTTGCAATCCTCCTGCCTCAACTTCACAAATAACTGGAATTACACACAGGGAGGTATATGCCACTATGCCAGCCTAGGAATATTGTATTCTGAAATTAGCATTCCCAAAACATATCTAGAGAATGTAAACAAAATTAACTGAACTAAAGGAGGTGGTTTTCATAGAGAGAAACTTAGGTTTTATCCTGAACTCACACATTTCAGAATATACCATTTACAAGTCAATTTTCCAAAAGCACTGTTAGGCTATTGTTAAAGGTTCATGGGTTGCAAAGTCAGTAACTACTGTGGCAGTACTGAGAAGAGGCAGATCTTTAATGAACCTCTTTATACATAAGCCAGTTACCCAAGTAACATTGTTACCGATGCCTACCCTTCAAATGGCATATACCACTCAACAAAGGATTCTGATATCAATAGGCTAGAATCACATTAGTCTAATTTTAAGAGATTTAGACTACTGGCTTTCCAACTTGTTGTTTTTCCTCAGATCTCTGGAGCTTTTATTTTCTGATCTTTTTTCAAACTAGCTGAGTTATTCTGAAGGTTATTCTCAGTGGTAGGATGCTTGTCTAATACATACAAGGACCAGAAAAATTAAGTTACAACATAAAATTTCACAAAAAATTTTCCAGTCATTTTACTAATTTTCAATTGCACAAACCTACAAAATTAACACACATGATATACACACTATTTCAAAAAGCAGGCTGATTTGGGCTTGTTGAAAGAACTCAAAATGAACAGAATACTCAATTAACTTTTTATGTGTTTTTTTTTGGGTTTTCTGAGATAGTCTTGCTATATAGTTCAGGTTGGGCTCAAACTCACTGTAAATCTTCTATCTTGGCCTCCCCAGTGCTGGGACTATAGGTGTGAGCCACAATACCTGGTTAATTAACTCTTAAGTTATACATATTTTAATCTTTTAAATATTATACATGGTACCTTGTACTTTTGAGTAAGAGTTTGGAATTGCAGCCAAATAGCTCCAAACTCTAAGCCCACCTCAACAGGACCAGACTGAAATCTTATACAACAAAGGTCTGAAGGAGTCCAGACTCATTTATGCCTAGTGAATAAGCCATGCCATATCAGCTCCCATGTCTTCTGTTAGGCCAACTAATGAAGGTGTGGTGAACCAGCAAAGTAGACAATGCTAATTTTAGAACCATGTGAGAGTGGCCTGCATTTAAGGACCTAAACACAAATATCTAAGAAGTCTTAGGACTTAACAACCAAGCATACATTCATTCCTGAGTCACTGTTGAGACACCATCACTAATTCTTATGCCCGGTTTTTCTGTCTGTCTGTTTGACACAGGGTCTTGCTATATAGATCAAATTGGCTTTGAACTCACTATATAGCTCCTGTCTTAGTCTCCTGAGGGCTGGAATTATAGGCATGAGCCACCATCATGCTCTGTTTATATCCAATTCTTTAAATGTTATACCACTGATGGAAAATTTCAAGACTGGTATGTTCAGCATTCTATGTTCACTAGACTCATATACAAATGTCTCTAAACATTTAATTCTTTGTTCATACTCAGTCTGAATTTCATAACCCTCCAATTCCTTACCTGACTAATTGTTGGGAGCTTAGTGAGAAGCATCTGGAACACTGGTGGTGGAAGAGTTTGCTGTAACACCTGCAATAACTGCTGTGGCTGTCCACACACAGCAATTGCGTTTGTCAGATGGTCCACACCCTTCTCATATTCACCTGCAAAATTTACACAAAATTACATTTACTCTGAAAAGCTGTAACCATCAAACATTCACCTGCTGTCTCCAAGTGATGCTGACCAAAAACACTGTAAATAGAAAGTTGGAAATATTATTAATAAGAATGCATATTATATGTGTTAATTTGGAAATATCTCCAATATACACATATAAGGGAGAAATTAAGATGCTGAAATTCTCAAATATTGTTTATACCCTTAAAATATTTCTGAAACATCACTAAAAACAGAATTGTACACCTCAAGAGAGAAGACTGGAGGCTGAGGTGAAAAGGAGACTCAATTTCACTTTATTTATTTTTTTGATACTGGGGATCAAACTCATGACCACACGCTTACTAGGCAGGCATTATGCTGCTGAGCTAAATCCCCAGCCCTTCAATTTCACTTTAAATCAACCCTGTGCCATCTGAATGTTAGTTCACAGAAATAAGAGAAAAACATTCTAAAGTGATGCTAATAAAAAAGAAAGTTCATATAATGGAAGTATAACAGAAAGAATGTTAAGATAATGGTTATCTCTATAGACACATAATTCTATAATATTTAGTTTTTGAAGGTTCATTTATTTCAATAAACACTAAGTACTCACCATGTGGTCACTGTCCTCAGTAAATTCTGTTTTAAGTGAAAATTCAAAGAACTGTTTGCCTACAGTGCCCTTTATCACCCTTCACTCCAAATTATCCTTTCAAGAGTGTCTGTACAGCGCACCATTATGGCATATCAACCTACCTTGTGTACACCTATCACCTTATCTCTTCAACCTACCTACAATAACCAAGTGCAAATCAATACCCTGGTTACAGCTACTGCAAAACTTTCCTTTGTCTCTATAACCCAAGAGGCTCATACCTTCTGCTAACGCTTATACAACTAGGGCAGACTAACCTGTTAGCATAAGTACAAAATCTCAGACCTCTCATGGTTCTTGACACATATAAGATTATTTATAAACTAAATTCTCTTTATTTACTAAACAAAAATTTCACCTCACATGCTGGTGTGGTGACACACACCTGTAATCTCAGCATCCCCGCAGGCTACAGCAAGAAGGCTGAAAATTTAAGTTCGGCTCAGTGACTTGGTTCAGTGACTCAGCAAAAAGCTGTCTTAAAAAGGACCAGGGATGTAGCTCAGTATACAAGCACTGGATTCAATCCCCACTACTATAAAAATAAGAGAACAAGTCAGTTTGCAATTAGCCTATCAAATGTTAATTTAACAGCTTTCCAATTTTTAACTTTACTCAAATAGCTTAAACATTTCCTCCTTGATCTTAGTCTCCTAACCTTAACTAAGTATAGTAGACATCATTCTTAGTGGTTTTTATGACCAAATCCATCAACACCCCCACAACTTTTAATTAGTCACTAGAATTATTTTACAGATAAACTGCTGCATTCTGCATCTTTTTTTTTTCTTCCTTTTTTTGATACTAGGAATCGAACTAAGGACCTTCCACTTGCCAGGAAAATGCTGTGCCACTGAACTATTTCCTTGGTCCCTGAGCACATTTTTTTTTTTTTTATTAAGGGCAATTTGTGACTTAAAGAAAAGGTTTTAGGCTACTGCCACTAACTTACTTTCCTTTTCCTACAGACTGGCTAATATCTTACTACTACCACATCCTACTATCCCAATGAGCTTGACGGGGCTAAGTGTCCTGGGGAATAACTGTGCCATCAGGCTCCAGGTACATAACCTTGCAAGCTGATGACAAGCATGGCTCTTATCACTGTCACTCCTGGTGTTTTTTTCTGGGGGTCTTGAATCTGGTATACAATGGTGTGTTGTTCTTGTCCTACTACTGTCTGCTGTGGAAACAGAAATTTTCACCCCAAGTTTGAGTTTGGTATGATTAAAGGTTTCTAAAACCTCACAACCATGTTCACAAACAGCTGAATATCTTCTGTCAATGTGGAAATTGTGGCTATCGCACCTACAGAGTTTTCCAGAATACCTCCTAGCTGTGTTGATCACTGTCACTTGGCTGTATATAGCCATCATTTTAATCTACTCACTCAAATCCATTCCTTAGTATTAAAAGGATATAACAGTGCCCATCCTCATAGAACCTACTCAGGGCTGTGCACTGATCCAGCTGTCAACTAATGCAATATGTAGAAGTAGACTGGCTGACCTAATCAGCACCAGCCTGTAAACAGACACCAGAAGAACCTCAAATCTCTTATGAATCAGGACTTTTAATTACTTTTTCTGAGGACCCAAAAATACTGAAGAATATATCCAGAACACACTGATACAACCTCAATCATAGTGAACTGGTCATCTTCTGCTCCTTTTCTGTGCAAAAAGGATATTGCTAGAACTTCTGCTAATTAGACAGATCACAAGTGGAACCTATTATCTCTGAATAAAATTGAAACCATCAAACGAAAATAAAACTCAGTAGCAGCAGTACCACCTGGGATTAAGCAGTGACCTGGCTTTGAAAGGCATGCTCTCTCTACTCTCCCTAAGGCCTGGCCTTCTCTCCAATCATGAGGGAAAATAGATACATCTGGAAATGGTTCCTGATTGGTATTTATTTTGCATTGTTCTGTACTTAAAAGATATTTTGGTCTTTCTACTCTATTTTTTTTTAAATCTTTTTTAGTCTGTTAGTAAATAAGGAGAACTAGACTACCTGTCTCTTTAAGTGAAATTGAGCAAACTGTAATTGTATCAAGAAACTGCTTCTTAGGAAAGAGGAAACATGGTAAAAAGTTGGTCACCACCACCTTAACACATTCACAATGGAGCCATAATTCTTGCACACTGCTACTGGGCAATTGTGCCACCAGGTGGTGTGGGACAGTCATGTATGTATGTACCTCCCATGATTCAAACTTGTGGGAATGTGGGAAGGTGTTACTTATCCCATAAAGGAAACAACACACAAATGTACCACATACATGGTTCAATTCTGTCTCAATCTAGTCATATGGCAGAGAGAAAAGAAAAACTAGATATATGACATCATTTTTTATGACAGAAGCTCTTAAGGCTTAAATCTCCACCTGACAACTGGTTGGTTCTGAAATGAGGTGTCATGAACTCACTGTGTGACCTTGATTAGATGAATTAATGTTCTCTGGCACTATTATTAGCCATTTCTTCTTATAAATACTGGAAAAAACCTGAAGATTGATGGCAAAGTTGAGAAATACAGTCTTAGTTCTTATTCCTTCAGTTATTAGTTGTATTATACTACAGTTATATACCACAAATTACTTGAGTGTCTTCATTTGTATAAACTACTTACACCATCTATATAATAAAGTAAGCTTAAAACTCACTTAAAAACATCACTGAAAACAGAAATTCATAATGACTATTTTTTTCTAGAGCCAGTAGTATATAAAATAATCTGCACATTATTAAGTGTGCAAAAACCTGCCTTGAAATGTTTACCGAATGTTAAAAAGCAGACTACAAGAAACTCCCCTTATCATAAATATGTACCGCTGTGAAGAATTCTATCTAGCTATAAGGACTATTACCTTGAGCCAGTAACTCTTCACCAAGTTGTATTTCTTCCAGGAAAAATTTCTGAACAGCTTCTGCATCTTTAAGGTCAGGTAACTAATTGGAAACAAAATATTTACAGACTGTTTTGAAAAATTATTGTAGAACTATAACCAACACACAGAATATCAGAAAAAATAATTCACTCTATTGAACAGATCACAACACCTACAAAAGTTTAATATCTACTTTAAATGATCAGACTGGTATTACCTGAATAGTTCTTAGAAAGTGGAGAATCAAGTGTAAGGAGAAAATATGTCACATGTATACTACTTTCTTTTTTTTTAAACAAGACCTTATTCTGTGTCCAAGGCAGTCTTAAACTCACTACATAATCCAGAGCTAGACTTTAATTCACAATCCTCCTGCTTCAAATCTTGGGAGCTATAGGAATGTGCCACAACATCCAGCTATGTACTTTATTTTATTTTCACATTTTGTAGATTTTTAAACAATTTATTTATTTTTTTAACAACTTATTTATATTTATTCTTTTGATTCAACATTTCATTTGGATTACAATGAAAAAAATTTAAAAATTAAAATGTAACATCAAGTAATATGAATTACATACTGATCCCTGCTATTTTTAGTTGTTATTTCAAACTATTAGCAGCTTTATTTGCACTTATGTTACTATTTTGTACTTTGTTATATATTACTAGACTAAACAAATATATGATTTCCAGCATCTCTATGACTTGTTTTTTTTTTTTTTTGTCTTTTTCCTTTTTATCAGTACCGGGGATCGAACTCACGACCACCTGCTTGCAAGGCAGGCGCTTATCCCACTGAGCTAAATCCCCAGCCCCTATGACTTGTTTAAAAAAAAAAAATAGTGGGAGTGGTAATACACATCTGTATTGCTGTTTGAAGCCATTCTGGGCTATATAGTAAGGCTCTGTCTCAAAAGCCCCTACTAAAACCTAAGACTTCTATAGTTTTTGATTTTTATACATACTCTTATGATCTAATATGTGAAAAAAGCCCATAAATTTCTGAAAGCAGAGACATCTTTCACTGATTATCCTATCATACCGTAAAATTTTTATAATATTTCTGAATCTAAAATGACTGGGGACGTAGTTAAATGGTATGTGGGAGGCCCCGGGTTTCATCCCCAGCACCATGAAACAAAGCAAAACAAAAACAAAAACAAAAACAAAACAAAACAACCCCCCCCCCCAAAAAAAAACCCAAAAGACAAAACCAAAAACCTCACTTACGGATGTCTCTATTTTCCTACATCCTTAGGAAGAAAAGTTTACAATAAACACTGTCTCTCAGAAGGATCATTTGGATTTATTAGGTCATTTGGATGTATTATAGCGAGGTAGTTTTCTCCCAGTTTCACTTTACTGTTACCATATCTATTCAATTAGTTATGTCACTGCTCAATTGTTTCAAAATAACAAAATGTAACATTTATTTATTTATTCCTAGCTTTAAGGTAAAAGAACCACTACAGATAAGTCTCACCCATACTCTGAAATCCAAACGACTAATTTCAGTAAGAAGGAAAGTAGCATGCACAATTGTTAATGTTTTATTTACTTACATATGTCACAGAACATTTTTTGTCTAGTAGATAAACCTATGAAGTCACTAAAATAACCATGAACACAGGACCTATAAAAGGCAAAAGATGAATAAAAAGATTTATGCACTACAAGGTAAAATTTGGATTAGACAGGTACCAGTAATTTTGATCAGTTGGAAATGAGTAGTATGTGGTTCTTTGAAAGGAGCTGGAGCAAAGAAAACTAAATCAGTATGTTACATTCTATCATTTGAAGCAGCTGAGTAAAAAGTATTTCAAACATTTTTGGTGTAATTGTTTTTGGGAGACCATTTTACTGCCTCTTTGTACAATAAGCTATTTGCTGTTACTGCCAATAAAGGGGAAATGCTCAAGGACTGGATAATCTTCAGTAACTTTAAACAGAAAGTCAATGTCTCAATATCAATTGTCTTTCTCAAAATATGCATCTAAAGTAGTTAATATTTTTATAACATAATCCGAACAAAAAGCAAACTTAAGTATTACCTTGGAAAGCCCAGCTCTCTCCTTGGCAAGCTTCTGTTTCTTTCTTCCTACAAGAAATGCAATGTAATATTTTTATTCTGCCATTACCAAAACAAGAATAAAAAAAAAGTCTAATTGCTGTGGGTGTCATTTCTATTTGCAAAACATTCCCAACTCTAGAATCGAGGATCTCTGGCCTTCTTGCAAGCTGTCAAGACTACATGAGTAGTCCTAGTCAAGTTATTACCAATGTGACATTTCTGGTCAGAATCTTTTACTATTCCTCTGGGTCTATAGGTCTAGCAATTCATAGGATGCAGATAGTTCTAACAGCTGAACCTCAGAAGCACAAGTTTCCATTTCCAACCTATACAGGATGTGTAAAGGGGAAAGAATTAGGTCACTGCTATTCGAGAACTTTATTACTGAAATATGAGATTATCTTTATTAACTGATGAAAAGTAGTATTCTTAAATGGAAAAGATAATAGTGCTTAAAAATTGTCTAAAAATATAGAATTTATGCATTTGAAAAAAAAAAAGGCCAAGGACTGGGGATATAGCTCAGTGGCACAGTACCTGCCTGTTAAGCCGCAAGGTTCCTGAGTTCGATCCCCAGTACTAGGGAAAAAAAAAAAAATGCCAAGAGCAGCCAGGCATAGTGACACGTATTTGTAATCCTAGCTATTCAGGAGATTGAGACTGGAGGATCACAAGCTCCAGGGCAGCCTGGGCAACTTTAGAGAAACCCTGTCTCAAAAAAGAGCTTGGGATACAGCTCAATGCTCTCTGGGTCCAATCACTAGTGTGTACATGGAGTGGGGTTGGGGGAAGCTGCTGTCAGCTGGGCATCGGTACCACAGACCTGTAACCCCAACACTGAAACTGGGCTGGGGATATACCTCAATGCAGGAGCTCTGGGTAACTGGGGCCCAGTATCACCAGAGGGAAAGAAAAAAATCCTCAAGCTAGTCTGTATGCTGTTTTTGATATGACATCAAGCAATACTATCAGATATGGTGACAAGAGGGTACAGACAAACAGTTAAGCACAGGTTTTGAGCTTAAATGTCCCAGTGTGTATCCTGCCTCTTTCACTTAACAGTAACCTGTACCTCACTTTTTCCATAAAATAGTTCTAATAACAGTATCTATTTCATAGGGCTTTTGTGAGGAGTAAGCTAATACTGTAGATGTATTTTTTAATAGTGCCTGGTTCCTAACATGTGCCACAAAACAAGCAATGAGTCAATTCCCTCAGATAAGGATTTATACCAAAAACCTAAAGTAGTAGTAACTAAAAAAAGTCTACAAACCCTCCACTACCAATGCTTAAGAAGTGACTGGCTTATCTAATCTAGACAGATGGGTTAATTTACTACTTTTTCATTCTAGTCTTTCAAACTACATTTAACCACCAGTAAACCAAGTCCTCCACAATACCCCAAATCATCCCACTTTTTCTTTTTTTTTGTGGGGAATGGGAAGAGACCAGGACTCGAACTCACAACTGTGCCACCACTCTGGCTCCTCAAATCAGGCCACTTTTAAGATTTAAATACAATTCTAAGAGTTTCAACAGAAAAACATTGGTTAAAGCTGATCTTATAAATTACTTCAAAGACACGCAACTAATTAAACAGATCACAATTCCACCCGATTTAAGGGTTGGTCCTTTTCCGGATAAAAACAATGAGTGTTACTGAACTGCTCAGTGGCATGGTTTAGACTTAAATGTGTGCTGGAGTAGTAGTGAAACTGGAAGGCTGCAGGGCAGTCAGAAGACAAGGAATATACTTAAGTATCATAGGAAATACTCAGAATTCAGACACAACAAATCAGGCATTTCCAAATGTTTGACCTTAATTTGCTTAGTTAATCCTCATAACTCTGAAGCAGGCACTGTCATCCCCATTTTATTGGTAAGAACATTTACCAACGTCACAACTAGTAAATGATCAAATGACTACTCAAAGCCAGACAGAAAAACTTCAGAGCCATGTCCTCAAAAAGGATTCCACTCTCTCATCATATTTAATAATGAAAGACACATCTGTCAAAATGAAACACACTTTCAGAAACAAAGGCAGCAAATTTGTGGAAGAAACAATGAAAAATACTATTTGCTAAGTCAGAATTTAGGGCAAATGATGCTCAAACTCAGTACAATGAAACTTTAATTTCATCATGATCCAACCTTTTAAGAGTGGAGAGAAATGTACATTGTTAAACACTAGTCACCAAATTTTAAGATCCCTGGCGGTGGGGGGGGGGGTGTTTAACAATGAATGGAATTCGGACCTAGCTCATACTTGTCAGGCAGGCACTGGGCCATTGAGTTCTCTACCACTGGCTTTTCATTTTTGGCAAAGATTAAAATTCTGAACTGGGTAAGGTGAAATTGCAGTATTTTGGGAGGTTGAGGTAATATGATCAACAAGTTTGAGCAAAACTGGAGCAATTTAGACCTTGTCTTAAAATAAGAAATTAGAAATGGACTGGGAATGTAGCTCAGTATGAATATCCTGGGTTCCATTCCCAGTACTAAAAAGATTAGTAGTCCAACTTTAGTATCATAACACAAGAAGCATTTCTGTAATAATGGCATAAACGGTAGCCTGCAAAGCCAACCAAGAGTTACAAAATCAGGTCCTCCCTGCACGATTTGTTGACAGTCCCAAATGCTATTGTGTAAACCTAACAGTTAAAAACAGGTATGTCTACTTAAAAAAAAAAAAACCTCACATAAGTCATGAGTTAAAATACACCCCAAATTTATTCAAAATACATTCAATGTAATAAGACACTTATTGCCAAATGGTGCATCATTTTATAAAGTACTGTATAAATAAAACTTTTCTGTACATGGCACTAGTTTGGAGCTTTTTTTCCCCAGAGAAGGTGTTTTATGAAATTTAGGGTTGGCTTAAATGTGCCATCCACCCATATAGCTTCCAAGTGCTGGGACAGGCTTGTACCACTAGGCTCAGTTTAAATTTTACTTAATGATTTAGATTAAGTTGGGCATGGTGGGACATGTCTGTAATCCCAGAACTCAGTGACTGGTAGGAGGGTCACCATTCAAAGCAGTCTGAGCTACATGGTAAATTCAAGGCTAATCCAAACAACAAACCGAGACACTATTTAAAAAGATTTAGATTGTTTTAAGAGTCCTGACAGGCACAAGATATGGTGGCACAGACCTGTAATGCCAGCATTCAGGAGGCTGAGGCAGGAGGATCACTGCAAGTTCCAGGCTAGCCTAGACTACAAGATCTTGTCACAAAAACAAAACAAAACAAAACAAAACAAAAAAAAACACAGCTGGAGCCTGTACAATAGCACATGTCTACATGTCTATAATCCCAGATATTCAAGAATGGAAGCAGGAGGACCACAAGTTTGAGACTAGCCGGAGAAACACAATAAAATTTTTACAAGGACTGGGAAGTGAGGGGTAGTGGCACATGCCTATATTCTCAATGCTCTAGAAGGCTGAGACCAGCAATCACAAGTTTGAGCCTAGACTGGAAGACTGAATGAGATGCTCTCAAAAATTCAAAAAGGGGATGGCAATGTGGCTCAATGCTAAGCCCTAGGTTCAATCCTCAGCACAAAAAACCAAAAACAAAATCCCCTGGAGATTTGAAATGTAGCTCAGTGGCACAGCACACACTTAAGGTACTCAAGATAGAGTTCAACTTTTAGCACAAAAAAATTCTAATGGAAGATAAAAGGTCTGAATAAATTAAGATTCCAAACCTAATAGCAAATCTTATTTTTAACAAATATCTTTCAAAAAAAATCAAGAAAGCCAATAATCCAAATGCCTGCTTTGAGAATCCTTTTTATTGGTGATGTATTCTACTTGAAATTCACTTAAGAATTCAAAATTTTAAAAAAATGAAACAAAACATCCTAGAAACACAATGCCCAAATCCAGCCACTTACACAATTATCTTTGAAAAGACTGCAAAATTACTCTGAATGGAAGTTTTACTTGCTAGCAACTATTTCAAACTTTTGTTTATAGAAAGAAATCTTACACTCATCTATTAGTATATGTCAGTGACAGTACTATAACAAGGTCATTTTGCTAAAAAACTGAAAAACAGTGCTTGAAACTGTCTAAAGTTACTGGTGTAGATAGTAATTCACTTATATTCTTCTCACCAAGATTAAAAAAATTTTTTTTACCGGGGCGCTGTAGCTCACTAAGGAGGCTGAGACATGTAGCGAATTTGAGACCAGCCTGGGCTACAAAGTAAGCTCAAGGCCAACCTGAACTGCATATAGAAGCCCTTTCTCAAAAAGACCGAAAAAATTTTTTGAGGCCAGGGATTTAGCTCAGCGGCACAAGCGCCTGCCGGCAAGTGCAAAATCATGAATTCAATCCCTGGCACGAAAAAAAATTTTTTTTTAAAAAAATTTAAAACATGGAAAAGATTTCAAAAACATTCCTCAGTTTGTCTAAAATAGTAACGCTTATGATTTCTTTAGGCAGAAATCACTTGCTTAAAGTTTTCATAAAAACCAATCCATTCTTAGAGCTCTGCATTTGAATCCAACACACTCATCCATTTTTGAAGCTACAGTATAGGATATCTGTCTTCCAATAATTACATTTGATCAGTGTTTACGTTGGAACCTTTTTTTTTTTTTTTTTTTTTTTGGCCCTTTTATAGGTACCGGGGATTGAACTCAGGACCGCACACTTGCAAGGCAGGCGCTTAAGCCGCTGAGCAAAATCCCCAGGCCCTGAACCTTCTTTATAATAGAACTATGGTGGGCACCTCAAACATTTCTTTTCAGAAACAAGGAGCAGGTGGCATCATCTGATTTTATACAGCTATCGAAGATTTAGCCAGGCGTTGTGGCTTGTGCTTATAACCCCAGCACGAAGATAAGAGGGTGTCCCAAGCTGTCGGAAGGCTTGACAATAAGTTGCTCAGCCTGGGCAACTTATTAGCAAGATCATGTCTCACAACGTAAAAATGTAAAAGCGGTTTGGCGTTGCAGCTCAGTTCAAAGACGCTGGGTTATTCCTCAGTACCACAAATAATTAAACAAAATAAATTTAAGATGCAGAAAGTCCAAGGCCATGCTGCTCATCAGTGATTGGGACTTCGAAATCCAATGTCGGATTCCAAGTAATCTTCCTTCCATTAGAAGAGCTAAAACTTGGGGCCGGGGATATAGTTCGGCTGCACAGCGCCTGCTTGGCACGCACAAGGCATTAAGTTCGATTCCCGGTACAAAAAATAAAAAAATAAAGAACTAGGACCAGTTGTATTCAATAGGTTACTCAATAGCTAGCCTACACGTGGCTATAGAACACTCGTGATGCTACCTTAACTAAACAATAAGGATACGGAATCTTCGCTATTTGTACCTTCTTGGCTTTAATAATATAGCTGAGCACCATACATCTGTTATAAAAATGTTATTTCAACAAATTTGCTTTTCTGCTGTTGCAAATTAAGCTATCCCCGGATCACGATGGTTTCAAGGGACTGAATCTCTCTCTATGGTGTAAACCTCTCTTAAAAGATGTCGCAGGTATGAAATAAGACTGAGCCACAAGACAAGCGCAGCCCTTTGGACTCCCCCGCAATTTCTCTAGCATTCACTCATATCTTGGAAGCACTCAGAGCGAAGCTGCCAAGAGGGTTTAAGAATGCAGTATCAACAAAGGATCTGAATTTGCGAATTTAGGCTGACGCTAATATCAGTCACACACACAAAGCACGAATCCTGGATGAAAAACAGAAGCTTTAAAAGGTGAATTTCGTAAAAAGAGACCACTTAGGCGAGGTGGCGCAAGCCCGTAATTCCAGCATTTTGAGAGCCTGAGGCAGACGGATCCAAAATTCGTGCCCAGCCCGGATAATTGCGCGCTATCTTAAAAATACAAAAGAGGTGGGGGTGTATAGCTCAGTGCCTCAGTGCAGGCCCTAGGCTGCTGCTCCCACCCCAAATAGCAACAGAAGTCAGGATAATCTACACAGTCAGAGAGGGAAACACAAAATGGGGCCGATCCTTCTTCAAAATGGAGGGAACCTGTGAAGGGCCCAGACCAGGACCCCTGGGCCGCGCGACGGCGCCATATCTTCCTCAGCTGTACGCAAAGCAACCGCCAAGGTGAGGCGCGGACCCACTCACGTTCTCGAAGTCTGTTCTTGAAGTTGGGATCACTTCGCCTCTTGCGGTCGAAGTAGATACAGTATCCGATAAAGAGGGCCCCGCACACGCCGGCGGCGATGGCGCTGTTCCGACCCACCATGTCCTCTCGACTTCAGCGTGCCGGCCGCAGGGGGCCCGCACTGCAGCGGTTGGTCACGAATCTACAAAGCAATTGTACAGCCTGCAGCTGAAGCTCCCTAAAAAGCACCGGAAAGAACTAGCAGGGGCACTTCCGGCTCGCGAGGCCCATAGGGCGTCCTCGGCTGTGCCTGCGCAGAAGCGCAGTGGCCAGAGCTCGGGTTGCCACGTGGGAGCCGCCCTGGCGGCGCGGCTGACATCGCATGCGCCCTGAGGTTTTGCAGTAAGCCTTTTCTTTGATCCCGGCGAGTGTCTTGGCAATGGTAAGCAAACTCAGGGAGCAGCAGCGAACCTTATTCGTGGACAATCAAGATGGAGAGCCCCTGATAACAGGGCTTTACCTCACTGTGGCTTATACAGCCTGTTAAATGTTGTGTTAGTAATTAACCTGTAAACTTGCTTTACAAATCTTGAATAAATTTGGGTATTTTATGAGGTGTGAGAGAAAATCGCAACTGTTCCTCTAAAAATATATAACCTTTAAAAGAAGTTTAAGAAAAAAACCCTGCCTTTTCCCTTGTAATATTCTCATTTGTACTATCATACTCAATGAAACTAATCCTAAGAGCAGCACTTTTCCTGAGTCCAGAGGTTATATAACCCAAGAAGGTAATGGAAAACTCCTAATGTGTGCCCACCTCATCAGATACAAGGACTGCCTCCTCCCAAATTTGTAGCTGGAGTCTGAGGTAAAAACAGCCTTGAAGAGGCCTGTGCTCCTAACCTAAGCAGTTTGGTGTCTGAAATGACAGCATCGGTGCTTTGGACATGTAATTGAGGAAAAGTCTCTAAGTAATGATGATACAGAGCTCCTCCTGGTAATACTGGAAATTAGTCCAAAGGCACTGTGTTCACTAACCCAAATGGAGTAGGAGATACAAATACACCAAAGTGAATTCAGATTCGAGGGTTGCACAAGAATAAGATGAAATGCTTTTCCTATATACCCTGCACACAGATTTTTATTCCAAAAGTTAACGGTGAGCTCAACTATTTAGGATTTTATCCTGAGCCTCTGGTGTGTAGATTTGTCCAATGCCATATAGCTGGCATGAAACCTAAAGCCAAGGACCAGGCTTTGTGGTAGGTTATGGGTTATCTCTAGATGTGTCTCCAAAGCCTCATGGACGTTTTGGAGATGGCTGGTTCGAGGACGTGTGATGCTGGAATCAAGGGTGTGAGAGTGAAATTGATCCATGGTACAGTCCTAGGACTAAGGCTGCTCCACAGTAAGTGGATATCCTGGATAGGATATAAGGAACCGAAAGAAGATCACTGCTGTTGCCTTGCTGCCTGCGATAAACTGTGCTCTGTGATGGCCCTCAGTCATGCCAACCTGCTTAGCCTACTATGAACTGAAACCTACAAACTGTAAGCCATATAAACACTTCCTACTTTAATTTTGGGTGTTGGGTATTTTGTCTCAGCAATGAGAATAGTAACTAAGACAGTGGCCATGACATTAGGATTCCTGGATAAACCCCAAACAGGGTACTCATCTCTGCCCTCATTCTATATATTGTAAATGTAGCATAAATGTTGAAATAGTTACTATGTGATACAACATGCTAGACAATACATTAACAGAAAAGGAAATACTTATCATAAAATACTATGTGTAGATTCCTTCCAGAAATGAAAACAGTATGGACATCACCAAAGCAATTTTTGTGAGTGGACCCATCAGTAGATTGCAGAGACCTAAATAATCAGTATTTTTACTACAATAAAATATTTGGATAGTCCCATCTACTCTGATACTGAAGTGGAGGACTGTAAATTCAATCCCAGTCTAGGCAACGTTAACAAGACCCAAGTTTTAAAAACAAACCAAAAAACTCAACAACAAAAACCACCAAAAACTATATAGTATTCTGTCATGTGAAATGATCATGTGGACTAAATATATTTGTTTGTATCAGTCACAATGTAGAACTACTGTGATCATAATAGACGTATGAAACCATCCATATAGCACAACCCCCTTATTTCACCAATCAACCTATTTAAGGTACAGTCACAAGGCTGGATCAAGAATACAGACATCTTTACACACGTGTAAAAAGTTCAGAGCTTACAAAATGAAAGCCTGTGACCAACAGGAGCAAGATACGATTCTTTGATACTCAGTGAAAAAATACTTGGGTAGGTGATGTGAAGCATTCCTGTTTTCTTGTTCTGAGTAAGAATCGTTTTACCTTATACTTTATTTTTAATACTGGGAATCGAGCTCATGACCTTGTACTTGCCAGGCAGACACTTACGCTGCTGAGCTAAATCCTTGGCCCTAAACTTTATACCTTAAACCCAAGATCACTAGCAGAAAACACTGTTCATGGAGCAGAGTCAGGGAAAGTTCATTAAAAAAAAATTATGCTCATGATTACTCAAGACTACTGATAATCTTTATTACAATCAGTAAAAATCAAATTGTAGCCACTGATAACCATCCAGTATCTTCCTGTAGCTAGAACTACTTAATTAGATATAGTGGTATTTTTTTCCAGGTAACAAAGAATTACCAGAGTATCTGGACTTTTTTTTTTTTAAAAACACATTACTTTTTTTCGTAGTCAAATGTGTTTTACATTTTTTTTTTCTTTTTCCTTTTTATCGGTACCAAGGATTGAACTCACGACCGCCTGCTTGCAAGGCAGGTGCTTATGCCGCTGAGCTAAATCCCCAGCCCCGTCAAATGTATTTTAAACTATTAAGAGTGACATAAAAACTCTTTCTAGAGAAAAATGGAAATGTCAGTTTCACTGTAACAAATATGAAGTTGCCCAATCATGTGAGTCACAAGTCTGTGCACACAGGCTGCATATGCAGGGACAATCTATGTCATCTACAAATGTCATATCCTTATGACCTAATGGGTCTCTAAGATGTAGGTCTATAGAAGGCAGAAAGAGCTCCACTTTCCTGTATCTGGAGACTGGTTATTTATGCTTTGGATCCTGTACTGTGTTTAGAACAAATATTTGTGACCTGATTATAGCTGAGTATTTTTGCATATATTCCCATTTAAATTTACATAAAGACACATTTGTAGGATATATAGACAAGACTGTATGTGCGTTATGTAGCTTGTTTGCATACAAATGTCTTTTTCATTGCTGAGACAATACCCAACATCCACAACTTAACACTTAAGAGGGAGGGTTTATGTTGGCTTGTAGTTTGTTGAGGTTTCAGCCACAACTGGCTGGCTCCAAGGCAATGGGGCATGGCAGCAAGGCAGTGCAGAATTGCTCACGCCAAGGCAACTGGAAGCAGATAGCTCAAAGGAAGGGAAAGGCAGATACATACTTCCAGGCCACAGCCCCAGTGACCCACTTCCTCTGACCAGGCTTCATTTCTCATTCAGCTATACACTCATCAGCAGGCTCATCCATTGGCTCATCCACTGATAAGCGCCACACTCCATGATCCAATCACCACCCAAGAGCCCCACCTATGAGTGTATACAGCTTAAGGGGGGATATCTAGATAGAAACCATAACAGACATTACAATTTTAGTTCACATTTGTTACTATAGAAATAAAATTTCCATTATAGGTTTTCTGTGTTCTATTATTCCCAAAAGACAAGATTTTCAAAGCAGTAAGTTCTCATATTCCCACCCATCCATCTGTGATACAATCAATAGTCACTGAAGCCCTGCCTAAAATCAGCCATCATGGGTTATTGCCCCTTCTCCAGGTCTCCCACCTGGATAGACACAGCTTGGTAAGACCAGTGAAGGTGTACCAGCTTATCACCCCAGAGAATGCAACAGTATTCTATTTGTTGAACTCTACTTACACTTTGTGACCTAATCATTATATTCCATTAGAAAATGTAGGTATGTAGGTAACTTTAAATATGATATTTTTTTAAAGGCTGTTTTATTCTAAGTGACACAGATTTAAGATTACACATTTTCCTGGGAGAATATCTTTCAAATAGAAATTAAATTAGAAATATGCTGGGTAGTCATTTTGCCAAAGACTTCAATAATGTTGAGTCATTGGTTAGATAAAAGAAATCAGAAATTATTTTACATTCTTATTGGTTAGTTATTATTAGCTGATGGAATAAGATAAAAATCCAGAACTCCAACTTATCGTAAGTGCAAAAGAAAGAAAAATGAGTATGTAATATGTAACAGGTCTCAAATCTTTCATAGATATTATTATTTTATTTATTTGTACTGGGGATCAAACTCACAACTTCCTGTTTGCCAAGCAGGCATTTAAACCACTGAGTTAAACCCCCGGCCACATTCACAGATATAATTACTGGACCTGGAATCAGTATTTTCAATTTAAAGTTACTAAGGCTACTTGGTCTATGTATAATCAGTAATATATCACTAAATTATTAGTTTCATCTCTAGCAAAAATATTCTTGAAATAACCCTTTGAAGAACTAATTACCTATTTCTAACATAGAGTCAAATAATCATTAAAATTCTAAATGTTGACCAGGGCCTAATAAAATAATCTCTTATACCATCACCAGTAACACATAATCCATGAACTAATCTGCCTACATTAAAAAACAAGTGATCTGAAAGGATTACAATGTCAGTAAGACTGTACAAGTCCCACACTCACAATACATAAAAAATCATGATGCTCAGTCCATGAATGCACCACACTTAGATTGGTAGACCTCACCAGAAAAAAGGCAAGCAGCTTCTGATAGTTACTTTTGTTTTCTCAGATTCTTAGTTCGCCCACTCTTTTTCTGTTCTTTCTTCTTCTTCTTCTTCTTCTTCTTCTTAACAAGAACAGCTTTTTCTCCAATAAATACACTTTTAGACTGTCCTGAATCTTTGGAAGCAAAATTAAGTCTCTGCTTGGATTTACTGACATTCTTCAAACATGGATCTGAATTTTGTTTTAATTTTTCTTTATTAACAGAGCGCATGACTCTGAGTTTTCTTCCCATTAGCTCAGAATTATTTAATTTCAGAGCAAGATGAACAGCATCTGTGTTCTGGAAAAAAAAATCAATACATTAATTTCTACCAGAAGTTAATCTGCAGAGACTAGTAAAATATCGATCTTAACAGATGAGAGTAACCTTCAAACTCCCAGAGGAAAGCCCCTCCCACTTCTAGGAAGCTTAGTTCCAAGTGTTTTTTGGGTCATGGTCTATACAAGTTTTCCCAGAGGCACTCAAGCTGCCTCAAAATTTTCAGGAAACTCACAATTGCAGAGACTTCACTTTTTTACAGTAAGGAGTTTTGAATCATTAGTCACATGCAATCTTTTAAACCAAAAACATCTCACAAGCCATCTTTCTGTAATAGTCCTGCTGTGTGCAAAGGACAAGAAAATCTCCATCACATATCTTAAAATGTGGAACTAGATACTCTATAGTCATCCATTTATCTCTACAACTGTATTATTAATTCGTCTAACACACAGGTTTACTACTCCCTTGAAAGTCCAAGAGGTATTTGTTACAGGACTCTGTGAATTTATCAAGTAACAGAAGTTAGAAAACATGGAAACACTCCCAACTTTTCTAAAAAGCTACCCAGCAACACCTATTATCAAATCTTTAAAATAGTCACACATCTTAACCTAGAAATATTGTATCCCAATGGGGAGCAAGCCTAAAGAAGTGATCCAAAATACAAGTAAACATTTGAGGAAAAATATCATCATTACAATTTCATTATTACAGAGAACACTGCTACTATCCAACAGCAGAGTACTACCAGTATAAATCATGTTGTATCCCTCAAATGAACATGCTCACATGACAGAAAATAGGTTTCAAAGTTTTATATTTATATTCAGCTATAAACAAAGGAACAGGAAAAAATACTAAAATGAATTTTGCTGTTTCTGAGGGAAGAAAGAGTTAAGTGCCACCAGAAAATATATTATTTTACTACTTAATATTAGGCATGAAACATTGGTTAATCAGTAAACTTAATATGACTAAACGGTATAGCCTCCAAAATTTTACTGTGAAAAATTATTTTATCCATTGCAGTAAAGATGGAGATTCATACAGTTAGTCCTATTAATTTCCAGTCTTAATAGCAATATGAAGAAAAGGGGAACTAGAACACTTTTTTGGTTAGGTGTGATTCTAGTAAAAGTGGTGATGATGGCAGGTTACACATTAAGGGGTTTTGTTTTGCTTTTTTGTGGCACTCGGAGTTAAGCCCAGAGCCATCATATTGAGCTATGCTCAGTCCTTTCTGTTTATTATTTTGAGACAGGGTCTCACTAAGTTGCCCAAGCTGGACTCAAACTTGCAATATCCACTTGCTTCAGCCTCCCAGACTACTAAAAGTCTACTGAGACACTACTGAAAAGAATTCAGTTTTAAGTCAGAATCTGAGGATGAAAGTAAGTTATGTCTGAACACAGAGTTGATAATGCTTCCTAGTTCATGCCAAGGAATAGCGACAATACATATAGTCTCTCATACCTCAAACAGCACATAGCCAAACCCTTTGCCGACACCTGTAACTCGGTCTCTCACAAGCCTCACTGCCACAATACTGCCACAGTCCAAAAAGTGTTCTTTCACAGCAGTTTCTTCAACTTCTAAAAAACATTCACCACAGTAAAGTTAAAGACTTATCTTAGAAAGCCAGAGATGTTTGATAACAAAGCAAGTTAAGCACAGCTCCATAAATATACATCCTTACACTGTATACTTAAATTTAATCTTAAGAAAAACATTAATACTAGATTTTATTTTGTTACTGAAATATATTTATTTAAGCAAACTTACTATAAGGGAGATTCCCCACAAACACTGATCTCTTGTCCCTCTGAAATACAAAGAGAGTTAATAAAAATCACTCACAGGACCAGAAAATGGAAGCCATGTTATCCTCCTGCCTCTCTCCCACCTTCCCCCACATCTGATGGGGCAAGTCATTCACCCCTGACTAAGCCACACATTGGACCCTTATTTCTATTCTTCTCATCTTCCCTTTTGTAAGCACCAGAGGAAGACTTTCCACTCACAGCAAGCACTGACACACAGTGGTGCTCAGGGAAGGCTTGCTTGTACTGGATTAGGGAGGAGGGGATCTTTTCTGTAAGAAGCCCTAGAACAATTATTTTAGGCTTTGCGGCCACATGATCTCTGTTGCAACTACACACCTCTGCTGCTACAGTTCAAAACCAACCCATAGGTGATACGAAAAAAGCACTGTAGTTGTATAACAATAAAACAAAAATACACGGTAGGTCGTTTGGCCTGTAAGCCCCAGCCACTGTAATTCTTTAAACAAATCAATTACTACTCACAGATGAGGATTTAGATGCAAGATCAACTCGAATATGAAATCCATCAGCAATCTCGGCCCCATTGCTATGTCATAAATACAAGAGAAATGCTTATTAAACATGAGCACCAAGTTACGAAAGTAACTGCTCCAAACTGAAGTAAAAGAACAAACAAATCTGGGTGTGGTAGTGCACACCTGTAATCCCAGCACTCTAGGACACTGAGACAGGAAGATCATGAGTTCAAGCAGAGGTTGGGCAACTTAGCAAGATTGTCTCAAAATAAAAAATGAGAATCAAAAATGCAAAGGCCCTGGGCCCCAACCCACAGCACACCTGCACATAAAAAATCCCCTTTACAGGCAACCCATTCAGGACATCTCCTGTCCTTTAGGAACTATTCCTACACCTATTTCTCATTCCTTTTCTCCAATTAATTTCCTTACTCTCAAAAATAGTCTCCTTGACAATCATTCTGTTAAAATATCAAAGATAAAATTACCTTTTCAATGCTTTTGTAGCAGCACTCTCATTCTTAAACACGACATAAGCATTAATGTTTTTCTGATCAGGATGGATTTTACGTCTGTAACAAAAATATAGGTAAAATTTGTTAACCTCAAAGTCATAGTAAGTTTAGCTTGCTTTCTACTATCAGCATGTGTGACAAAATGTAGCAGTTTTACTTTCTTTAAGTAGTAATAACTCAAAAAAAGAACACACTTCTAAAGGCAGTGGTGGGAACATGACAGCCCACATGTATGAAGCTCTGAGAACAACACAAAGACTAGATTTGTCATCTCAGCTGCTGTTCTGAATCTAGTACACCCATGAACCTGGCTTTCCCTTTTTACTTTAAAATAAAATGCCCACGTAGAAAAGTACATAGCCTCATACTGCTTAATAAAATAACCCAAAGCCAAGGCTCTGGCAGCCACAGCCCATCTAGCAGCGTCTCTGTGGCCCTTTCCAGCTGCAGGGCCTCCTAACCTCCAAAGGAACCACCACTATCCCCACTTTTGTATGAACCAGTTCCCTGCATTTATCTACGTGATTCTATCACCCCAGTGACTATTTCTCACTATTATTACACTTTGGTCTTATCTATTCTTTGACTCAGTTTAATTAATAGGATTGTCTCTGTATCTGTTTTTTTATCTTACTGGGATTTGGCTCAGCAGCATAAGAACCTGTCTGGCAAGCGCTAGGTTGTGAGTTTGATCCCTAGTACCAAAAAAAATAAAACAAAACAAAAAACCAAAAATTAATGTAGAATTGCCTGGATTTTGCCATTATGAGTTTCACTCTTTTAATGACTGTAGCTGCTATGTTCAAGGCTTGTACCCATTAACTAATTCACTGTTTCCAAAAGGTGAAATAAGTTAGATGTGTAAGTCAGCAAAATTAGGACCTCATAAGCACCACAGATTTTTCTTGGAAGACATGAACCTAGTTTTAAAGTAACAAAAGTGTTAATACTGTACCCAAATAAGCACCATCAACAAGTGCTCAGGAAAAAAAAAAGTAATTACTGAGGTAGAAAGACTTGTCAGCATTAAGTACAGCTGCATATTGGAGGTCTGACATCAGCCCCCACTAATGCTATTCAGTAATATGGTACTATGCCATTGAAATAATTTTATTTTTATTGTATTATCTTACGGTGCTGAAAATCAAACCCAGGGCTCCCTGCATACCAGGCAAAGTGTTCTATCACTGAGCCATATTTCCAACGCCCTAACACTTTTATACTGATGAAAGCACCTGTGATTTATTAAGTACCTAACACATACCTGGCCCTGAACTGGACACAATAATACATCTGAATTTCACATCTGACATAGGTATTACTTTTCTGACTTTAAGAATAATAATGCTGAGACTTGGAAATGTACATGATCGTGATCATAAATAAGTAGTCAACCTAGGACAGCAACTCAGCCTGTTCATTTTGGAGCCTCACTCTTTCCATACAACAGTGCAGCTGATGACAACACTCTACAACAGACCTGCAGATGCATATCAATGGACATGACTTTGTTATTCTGTGGAGAAAGACCTTGGCACAGGGACTATGAAGAGTAAGCATGCAGTCTGGCTGCACTTGACTCTATAGAGTTGGCTTGCACCAAGCCTGATGGATGGCAAAGCTTCTGCTTCTACTTACAACCGACAGCCAGAAAGAGACTCTTCCAGCTTGCCCCAACAGTAGGAAGACACCAAGTAACTACTGTAGAACAAACTAACTCTCGTGCAAGTCTTCAGAGAGCCAGAGTCTCAGGGAAACAAGTGGCTTGGAAGCTAAGGCCAGGCCAGCCCCTCCTTCCTAGGAGAGACCAGGAGGGCATAAATGCTGAGGTGGGTCTCAAACAAACCTGGGTAGCTCCTCATGCAGAAGTGGGTACACTCAAAGGATGCACCCCATTTGATTCTGCTGGTGTCCACAGGAAAGCCTGAGAGGAAGAGGGAGCCCATAAGCAAGTCCATAGGGACTACAAGTTGAAGAATGTGGCCAAGCCCCATGTGGATTCTTCTCTAATGGAAGAATAAGTTGGTTCATTAGGGGAAGACAGCAAGCCTGTCACACAGTCTTGCTCCTGTGTAGTCTCCTGTGGTTGGAAGACAGGTCTCCTGCCCTCAGAAGAGGGTGGAAAATTCTATGTTGGAGAGGATCTATGAAAGATATAAGGCAGTGCTTTGCTATCCTGGCATGGAGAGACTGACCATCAGCTCCTAAGATAGTGACTCCAGCCCATCTGAGCCAGAGGCTAGGCCAGAACAGCACAGACCCTGCCACCCCAACTCTCCCAGATAACAAAACTGCTAACAACAGCATACACTCAACTGGATTTTCAAAAAAATTTCTGAAAACATTTGATCCTTCAAATGATATCTTTTATTTTTTTGTCTTTTTCATTTTTATCGGTACCAGGGATCGAACTTAAATGTTATCTTCTAATTACTACAAACATAAGTAACATTTCAGACAAAGGTTTTGCATCCAGAACATGTAAAGGACTTCTTACAACTTGGTAAGAAGACAAGCCATTAGAAAATGGGAAGGTTTTACAGTGACAATTCACCAAAGAAAAGAAAACCACTAAGCATGCAAAATGATGCTCAATATCTTCAGTAATCAGCAAAATTGAGACTAAAACCAAAATGACAAACATTTAGCAGGGCTAACATCAAATGATGTTAATGACTCCCAATACTAAGAGCTGGTGAGGATGTGAAATAGCTAGGGGTTTCGGCCACTGCTGGAAATGTAAAATGACACAATCACTTTGGAAAACAACCTGGCAATTTCTTAGAGATCTCAGAATACCCTTATCATAGGACCCAGCAATCTCATCCCTAGACATTTTCTCAACAGAAATGATCTGCATAGAAATGTTTTTAATGTATATTCAAGATAGCCAAAAGCTCAAATAACCTGAATTTTCTTGAACTGACAATTAGGTATGTTCTGATGCTTTCATGAAATGAACTACTACTGAGCAATGAAAACATGAGTATGGTACTCATACATGGAACAGTATTTGTGTCTGTCAAAATCATTATGCTGAATAAAAGCCAGACAAAAATACATAGTGGCTGGAGAGAATGCTTAACTGCTGGGGGTCCTGAGTTGAATCCTCAGCACCTCAAAAACAAAAACAAAAACCCAAAAAGCAAAAGAGTATATACTGTATGATGATTCCATTTATGTAAAACTCCAGAAAATAGAAATTAACACATACACACAGAAAGCAGATGAGCTGTCTGGGAATGGGGGGATGCATTGCAAAGGGGTGGGAGAAAACCTAGGATGAGGAAGGTGCACTGACCATGCACAAGTCCCTCACATATATTAAACTACTAAAGCTGTATACTTCAGATAGCCTCAGTTTTAATGTAGGTAAATTACTCAATAAAGAAAAAAATGTTTGTAAAAGTTTTGGTTATTGAACGCCCCCCATTTTCCCATGGTAAAATGCACTATAAGCAAAGTCTAAATGCAAATGACAGAGGAAATAAAAATTTAAACCCATACCATAAAAGGTTGATTATATTAGTATCTCACCAATTAATAAGCCAACAATTCAACAGCAAAAAAAGAGGAAAAGCAACTGGTACTAACAATTCAAATAAAAGGAAGAACAAATTGATTCCTGAATATAGGAAAAGACAAGAGGAACAAAAAGTAGAACTATTATTTCTCCCTACTAGGATGCTGGTGATCAAAACTCCAAAAATGTACTGTTTTTATAAGTAAAAGCAAAAACTATAGTTGGTAAAGATGTGGAAATAATAAACAGGTGATCAACTCTATGAGATAGCAGGCAAATTTACAAATGGAAATCTTTTATTATTATTATTTTGGTTTTTGACATAGGGTCTCACTACATAGTCCAGAGTGGCCGGGAACTTTCAACCTCCTGCCTCAGTCTACCAAGTAATAGGATTACAGGGATGCACCACCACACCTGGCTTTGGAAATACCCTTTTTGCAAAGCAAAGCGGTTCTATTACTACAAGTTTAGCCTATGGATCAATTAGCACTAGTACAAAATTAAAACAGGAAAAAAAGGAAAATATAAATACCTCTGACTTAAAAAGTAGGGATAGCTCAATAACAGAGTGCCCCAAACTTCTTAGTAACGCTATTACATATTCTATCAGAACTTTTATTTCTGTCAAAATTGAGGCTCAGGGGTTTTAGCCTCATACAAAATGAACATTTATGTAACTCAAAAAGAAGGGCTGTATCTCACCAAGTTTCCCATTTCCATCAGCAGCTACACAGTGCCTTATATCTAGGATGACCTACAGGTTTGGTTATCATAATAAACAAGAATGTGGGAGTCAGCAGATAATTCATCAACTGTCACTGAGACACCGGACATAGTGATGCTTATGGGGAAAAAGCAGCCAAGACTTGGCCCACCAAATAACTACAGATAAAACTCCAGATTAGGAATAAATGAAGTCACCAAGATACCTAAAGGGAACAAAATGTTTCTAAAATGCCTTAGTATATTTCATCTAATGTGAAGACAGTTCTGCTTGTTAAACACAACATTTTATGTACCATTAAGAAAGCAAAAAATACCCAAGTGTGAGATTAATCTAAAACCCTGAATAAAGCTGAAGGTAAATACAAATTAATCTGTGTGAAAAGAGGCAGTGAGGGCATGTGTATGTATATATGTCTCATTCTTGAGCAGAGGAGATTGCTCTGACAATTTGATCCCCAAGTCACACTACATGTAAGTTTCCCAAGTCCTCAAAGAGAGAAAGTGAAGTGGTCACAGGCTGGATGCCAGGTGATTAGCCAAAGCAACCAAGAATTCTCCGACCAGTCTGGAAAGTACAAGGTAACTTTCATTCAGATGCACATTGCTATGAAGTACCCCAGGAAGTGAAGAAACACGGTTTTCATGACCTATACTAGAAAACTTGTGTATTCTGGCTTTGCACTAGAAAATTTGGGCACAAAACTTCCTTATGGTCTTCTAATCACTATGAACATTCTTGAAATGTCTTGTGGCACATTTTCTTTTTTTTTTTTTTTTTTTTTTTTGTCTTTTTCATTTTTATCGGTGCCGGGGATTGAACTCATGACCGCCTGTTTGCAAGGCAGGTGCTTATGCCAAGGAGCTAAATCCCCAGCCCCATTGTGGCACATTTTCTAATAAGTAATTTTGTAATACTTTCTATAACTGTACAATTTACATTAAGGCTTTAAAGACAAGTATCTGATAAATCTGTATCATAGATATAAGGAAAGCATGCTATATTATCCAAACACAAAAATCTATGAAACTATTCATGATCTCAACTTTTAACCAAAAAGAAAATGAGTTTAAGATGAGTCTTTTCCTCTAATTATAAACTTACTTGATTGCTGCCAACTTTTTGGATACAGTTCCCTCTGCTGGAATCTTTTAAGAGAAGAAAAAAAGCATTTTAAAAATTCAGTATTTGAAATATTATTGCAAATTAATATTTTAATTGAAGCCTAAGTTATCTAACTGGCATATTATGATTAAAAACATTCTAGGAAATAACTGTCCTCATGTTATGTAAAAGGGACCTCATGGTTTATGATGAAAAAGTCCCAAAGACACCATTACATTGCAGACTAAAAAGGCAGTAGCTCTTTAAATAATCTAGAAAGACACAAGGCTTTCACACTGTGTGGGTGACTAAAGGGGAAAAGGTGAGAAAATAATGATGTTGAAGACATGAAAAATGAAACGAACTTGTTTTATAAAGTGAATATGGGGGGGGAGCTATGTTTATAAATTAACATGTGCCAACATTCAGGAAGCTGAAGCAAGAAGATTGAGAGTTCAAGGTCTGCCTGGAACACACTGTGAAGTCCAGGTCAGCCTTGAACTCAGTCTGTAGCCCAGGTTGACCTCAAATTTTCAGCATTCTTTGGGTTCAAACTCTTGAGTGCTGATATTACAGGTGTACCACTGTGACTGGCATTACTTTCTTATTTTATAGCCAACATATTCTTAAATATTTAACAAATGAATAAATAAGGCAAACTTTATCCATATCTCTACGAAAGAGCTTATATATTTTCTAACTGGAAAATTACTTTCTAATTGGATTTTTAAACTGGAAAAGTAAGAGAATCCCATTTACATTCTGGATCACTTTATTTTCAGTGATACATAGCTTTTTGTGTGTGTTTATTATGTTTTTATGATACATAATGATTACATTTATCGTGGGGAGCTGGTCATGTACACAACATAACCTGATTCTTTTTATTTCCCTTTCCCTCCGAGACTTCCCTTTCACGTAGAATTTTTACGTCAATGGACTAAGTAAAGAAAACTATGGAAGAGGCAAAAATTCAAGTTAACAATGGCAATATCCCAAATTGGGCAGTACTAAAAAGACACTGGCCCTCCAAGGTCAGTCTAGAATCATTCATGAATGCAAATCTCACTCAGAGCAGCATTTATGAACGTCTTCGAGAAAACACTTGTTTTCCTAAGTCATCTGATTGTTTATACAGTAAAACTAAAAAAACTGAACTCTTCTGTGTATGTTATTCAAATCACTATCACATAAACTCTTACAACAGAAAAATATACATATACGAGAAACCTCTAAATACTCAATATGTGAATGGTAATCATCAAAATTTACTATTGGGGCTGGGGATATAGCTCAGTGGCTTAAGTGCCTGCCTAGCAAGCCAAGGTCCTGAGTTTGATTCTTGGAACCAAATAAAAGATTTACTGGGAGTGTTTTTGGAGCTCTGAAGGACCTGTATCCTATGACTAACAATATTAATAAATACATCACATAGCACAAAATACAAAAATTCTTCACAAAGTATTTTATTTTAAAAATAAAAATTTTTTCTTTAGAGAAAATAAATTAGTATTAAAATATTGAAAATATTTTGAAGTGATGCTTTACCTGTATACCGAAAAATGGATATAGTTTTCTCACAGATAAAATGGGATGTAGGACTCCAGGCTAGGAGGGTGACAAATTTTTCCTACCTACTCAGAAGCCTGAGGCAGAAGCACCACAAATTGGAGGACAGCCTAGGCCAGTGTCAGCAAACCTATGGCATGCTTGCTACAGCAGGCTGTTTATATCACTGAAAGCTTTAGAAGGTTTGACATCACTGTCCTAGCAAGAGTAATGTAAAAGGGTAAGGAGTTCAGTGGTATAGCATTTGCCTATGATGCACTAGGTTCTGGGTCAATTCCCAGTACTACAGAATTAATATACAATCAAAACAACTCCAGGCAAAATGAATGGCAAAAAAGGACAAAGGTGAGAAAGCCCATATAAGAAGGAACACTGTTCAAGTTAAGACCTAAGGACAGATTTCACTGACAGTGAAAAGAACTCAACTTTTTACAAGTCTCAGATACATATTTAATGAACTTAAGGAGCAGGTGCTGGAGGACCATAAGGATAACCAAGACAGACTTCATTGGTAAACACTGCTTCCAGCCTGGAAGGGAAAAACAAACAAGGGACAACACTTGCACTACCAGGCAACAAGTACTCACTCGAGTGTGGCTCAGCGACAGGGAAGAAGCTGGACAGATTCCTTTAAGGTAAGAAAGTAATGGCTGGGGTGAGGATAAAGAGGGCAAGGCAAGAGTACCAGGAAGTACTTAAGGCAAGAGTACCAGGAAGAAGGCCTTTAGGAAGAACAGGTTAACAGTAGTATGCTAGACAAATCAGAGGTAAACACAGTGGGCCTCTGTAACTAGTCTAACAAAAAAGAATGAGAATGAAAGTGGGAGGATGACTCTAATTAGGAAGAAACTGCACTTGAAAACCAGGCAGGGAGCCAGGCATGGTGATGCATGCCTATTAATTCTACCACTCCGGAAGCTGACACAGGAGGATTACCACAAATTCAAGGCCAGGCTGGGGTACCTAGGAAGTTCAAGCCAGCGTGAACTACACAGCAAGACTGTGAGACACACACACACACACACACACACACACACACACACACCCCCAATAGTCAAAGTCACCGCCAAAGCTTGCAGCCTGATACCACTGAATGACAGAGACAATCACAGGCAACACAGATTGGGTGGGGGTAAATGAAGGTCATGTTCCAGCTGGCAAGACATCCCAGTTCCCGTGTTAGTCCAACAATCTGAAATGGGGAAAAGGGACTCAGAAGAGGTAATAAAAGTGGGAAAAAATGCAATGACAGAAATAATGTGAACTGTGAAATGCTTGGGAAATGGCTCCTAAAATAAAGAGCAGTTTTGACTCCTGAAATATTTGGCAATATTTTTAACTGTTATAACTGGGGTGGAAGGGGGTGACAGGATCTAATGGGTTAAGGTCAGGGATGCTATTAAACATCCTAAAATACACAGGGCTGCTTTCTTTATTTTATTTTACTTTTTTTTTTTTTTCGGTAGGGAATTGAACTCAGGATCTCGCCTTGCCAGGCAGGCACTATGCTGCTGAGCTACATCCCCAGCCCAGGGCTACTTTCAGTAACAATTTTTCTAGCCTAAAATATCAATACTATGAAAGGCTAAGAAACCTTGTTTTTGTTTTTGAGGCATGATTTTGCCATGTAGTTCAGGCTAGCCTTGGACTCATTCTGAGCAAAGGCTGGCCTTGAACTCACAGTGATCCCCTTGTTTTGGCCTCCCCAATGGTGTGATTATAGCCATGTGCCACCCATTATGCCCAGCCAGAAGCTCTATTTTAGAACATCACACAAAAGAGCAATTAGAAATGAGGATTAGGTATTTTCTATTCTAGTATACATTAATTACAATCAAAAGTGTTCCAAAATTTACACTGTGATAAATTAACTATAAGATAAGGAAATTTAAAACTCACTTATGGGAAAACTGAGTACTATCTCCAATAGTGACACCAACCTCCCATATTGGCTAAAATTCTAGAAATGCTATCTTACATTAGCTTTTCTGACCACTCTATTGATATAGCAAATAAAAGTCATTCATTTTCACTCCAAAATAACTGATAGAACTGCTAACAAGGATATGCTTTCATAAGCTGGGCATGGTGGCACATATCCGTAATCCCAGCACTAGGGAGGCTGAGGTAGGAGGATTGCTGCAAATTCAAGGCCAGCCTGGGCTACACAGTACAACGAGACCCTGACTCAAAAAACAATGAACAACAAACAGCCCTTTATTAGATTATTTAACAAGTCTAAGAGTCAGCAATACATATCAGGAGCCACTCTTTCCCTGGCTATATTTACACCTATTAAAAGTCAGATGCTCTTCAAGTATCCTAGTATCAAAGACCCAGTAAGTTTGGCTCAAGGCAAAACATTTTAAGATTATGAAATTTTTAAAGAGAGAAAAGACATACCAAAGAACGAAAACGTACAGATTCTATTTGTCCATATTCTTTAAAAAATGACTTCAGCTTCTAAAAAAATAAAATATACAAATATATTAGTTCACTTTTAGAACCATCAAGTGTCACAAAATAGAATAACAAAATAGATCTTTTATTGCTAGCTTTTAAGAACAATTCAGGAAAAGTACGAGACTGTTTAGCTGGACACAAAGTTTTTTTTTTCTTTGTCTTTTTCCTTTTTATCGGTACCAGGGATTGAACTCATGGCTGCCTGCTTGCAAGGCAGGCGCTTATGCCGCTGAGCTAAATCCCCAGCCCCTGGACACAAAGTTTTAATGAAACTTAATGAATAAAGAAAATATAACTTGTTGATATTAGTGTCCATGAATTGTGATTTTTTTCCAGTCTTTTATCTTTACCACATGTAAACTGAGGCTAGGCTTGTATCTTCCATATATATATTCTGTAATTTCACGTTAACTTAAGAAATCAATTTTAATGATGCTTAATATAGTGCTATGAGAAATTCTTTAGTTGTCTCTAACACCACCAACAGCTTGTGGAGAATTCTAATGGGTACATTTTGACATTCGTGTGTCTAAAGATTAACATATGAACATATATTTAATAGATAGGACAATAATTTGTATGACCAATTCTAAACTAAAAATCTCTTACAAAACGGCACAAAACAAAATCTGTTATGTCCTACAAAATAACCACAAATCAAATCCTAGGAGATAACAAGTGAGACAAAGGGAAAAATCCAACAGATTTTTAGTATTCTTTTATTTTTAGGGAAGTAGATTAAAATTGTTGTTCAAAAGATGGAAGATTTTGAGTCAAGACTGCCAACACAGAGACTACTTCATGATCACAGAAAGAAAAGGGGATGCTTTCAGTGTACTGAACCCTACACAACCTGAGTTTAGGATGCATTCATCATTTTATACAATGAGCATTTAGTACGCCACTACTAGACTAAACACAACCTCTCATGTAATACAGTAGTAAAGAAAACAGGTGTTAAGTATCTCTGCACAGAGGAAGTTTCCATTCCAGTGGCATATAGCAGGAGATAAGGGTAGAAGAAAAAAGGCAGAGAAGAAGTCACTGCAATAATTGAATTGTAATTTGCAAAAGTCTGAATTAGGGCAGGGCTTACAGGAATGGGAGAGAATATTGAAATTAGTTTATAGTAGTCTGAAATCTGTATTCAATGATAATGAAATTCTACCAGTGGGCTTATACTTACATGCTTATTTAATAATTGAAGAATAAACAAAAGTTAGTTTCTCTAAATTTTTATCATATACAAGGTAAAAACTCACCTTTTTATTATATGTGACAGGCAAATTCCCAACGAACACAGTCCTCTCATTTTTTAATCTCTCTTCTTCTTGGTTGATTGGGATTTTCTTTCTTTGACTTCCATCAAAGTTCTGATCTACATCAAGTACTTTTCTACCTGCTACATTAACACCAGATTGAGAATTTTTCCCTTTCTGTACTTGTTTTTGGAGAATTTCTTCTTCTAAATCAGCACTTGCTAAAGCACTTTCCCTAAATTTTAAGTAAAAACAAAGATAAGACCCATAAAAGTAAGCATTTTACAAAGCACTATTTAATTCTTCAGGTTAAAAATATTTTCCAATGATTTCCATTTTTCCAAATAAAAGCTTATCACAAAAACTTTTAACATTATCTACAAAATGACTTGTATCTTTAGAAAATAAATTCTGTGCCCTAACATAAGAAAGTGTTAAGTTCTCTTTTTTGCAGACACACTAAAACTGCCAGCCAAGAGTAGTAGCACCAAGAAGTGCAGCCAGCCAGTTCATTTAAAGCTCTTCAACATTTAATTTACACTCTGTCAATGTCTAATTTCATTCTCTGATCTAGAATCGAGTACACTGCTGTATTCTAAGGGAAGAAAAGAAAGAAAAAGAAAGAAGAAAGAAAGAAGTGTTGTTTACAAATAACTCTATAAAAAGAATATAGTCAAAAAAAAAGGTTTCCGATTTATAATTCGGTGATTTTGAAAGGACTGTTTACCAAAAGAAAATTCTGAAATGGCAAATGCAATATAAAGGATGAGTAAATGGATGTGTAGGTCTGATGTAATCTAAAACCTGAACTGGATGGTGACTAGAGAATGAAGAGAAAAAATGGGTAGTTAAGAGTCACAAAATGATTCACTCTTAAATACTGTGTTTCCTCACTATTCTAGGCTCTGAGAACACAAAGAAACTATCAGGAGCCTTTCACAAGTGTAATAAAAAGCTGAGCATGTTGGTATAAGCCTATAAAGCAACCCTTGCACTCAGAGGGCTGAGGCAAAAGATCATGGCAAGTTCCAAGCCAGGCTGCACGACATAGCAAGACTCTGTCTCACAATAAATAAACAACTAAGCAAGTGTAGTAAAGAAACATCCAAAGCTCACCAAAAACTGGTAATAGCTAGTGGCTGGGGACCTAACTCAGTGCTTCAGTACTCACTTAACAATTAAGCAGGGCAAGGCTCTGGATTTCGTGCCTATCACTGCTGCTACTGCAGCTGCTGCTGCTAACAGCAGTTAGAATATACATTACAAGAGAAACAAGAAAGGTTTCTCATAGGAAGAAAGCAGTGTCTGGGACACTCAACAAATGCAGACTGCTATTATTACTCTTCCTCTAAAAAGCTCCACTAAAGGGAGAGTCCCTCTCTAGCATTTTGTTCATTATAGTACACAATAAAACTAGCAAGAGGGGAAAGAAATGCAAACATATAGTAAGGCTAGTTCCAAGTCAAGAACAGCTTCTTCTATGTGAAAGTGCTGGACTTTAACCTACAGATGCTAGGGAGCCACCAAAGAGTGCCTAAAAAGACCATGTAAGGCAGCAAAGAAAAAGGGAAAAGATAATAAAAAGTCTGAAGACAGTAGTAAAAAATGGAAACAATAATTAGAAACATGATAGTACTGTTAGTTGGATCCTGACTCAAATACGCCATAAAGAAATTTTTTTTAAGTTAGAGGCTTGTTTCCAAATGACGAGAATTTGAGATTAAAAAGGAAATGAAATTGGCCTAATTGTAAATATTAAGAGATGAATGAGTTTATCCTGACTTTGTATGTCATAAAGTTTTCCACAATAAATTTTTAAAAGCAATCAAAATGAGAAATTAAAATATTGCAGTCAAAAAAAACTTTAATTTCTTACCATTTTATGTAACATTAACTAAGAGAATTTTACCAACCTGCTTGCCAACTTTTTGTCTGCATCAGAAAGTTTCTTCTTGACTTTCACTTCTTTTGCATGCTGTTGCAAATGTGGTCTTTGTATCGAGGTTGTATTTTCTTCCTCATCGTATTTCCTTTTCTTAGAAGTTTCCTTTTAAAAGTTTAAAGTTACATTTGACACTTCACCTTCTAAAATTCTGACCCCAAACAATTAATTTTGCTATCTTTCAAAATTAGAAGTCATTTGTTGTACTGCGCAAGGTAACAGTGCTTAAAATCAGTCTGCCCTTCTTTTGTTTTGCTCTTTTTTCTCTATCAAAAAAAAAAAAAATCAGTCTCCTGTAGAAACCACGCTTAACTTAACGGGTCATTCAACACAGAACCAGTGACCTACCTGAGACACAGGCACGTAGATGGGTCGAACTTGTGGTACCGGGGCGCTGAACAGGGAGGCCAGTGGCCTGGAACTGGCTCCAGAAGGGCGCCGGCCAGGGAGCAAGCTCTTGGCGACCTGTCCTATCAGGTAGTCTCCTGCAACATCCTGGACGGACCCAGGGTATCGGTCCTCCCTGGGAACGAAGGTCTGGTTATAAGCGTGCCACCCTCCATAGCTTCACCCGCCCGGCGAACGCACGACTCTCTCACCCAGCTACACACGCGGCACGCTACTCACTCCGGTTCCGCAGTTCTCTTTTTCTTCCGCTTGTTCTCCCTTTCCAAAGCCATTCCAAAACCAAGCTTTCTTTCCTGGCCCGCTACAGCATGGAGAAAGGCACTTCCGGGCTCCGGCTACTTCCGGGCTCCGGCTATTTCCGCTCCCTAGCCACGCCTCTAGTGCGAAGGATCACAGACCTTCCAGCTAGCAGACAGCCGCGGCGCCGGGAAAGTAAGATTTCTCAGCGTTCCTGACTCCTAGCTTTCCTGCTTGATGTCAGAGAAGCTTGATCTTGCGAGTGATGGACACCTTCCCAGAGTAGGTGAGGCCTGAAGTAAAAATCAGCCATACTGGGCGTGAGACATCAGTGGAGGGAAGAGCATGTAGGAAAAAAACTCCAGAGTCGTTGAGGAAAGAGAGAATGAAGGTACCCCAGGGTGTGACTGACTAGTCGGGAGTCAGCATGAAGGGAAAAAGAGTGCTTTGTACTTCTTTAGCTTTTCGGAGGTTTGACATCATTTTAAAGTAAGTTACAAGGTGCGGGGAAATTAGATCACCAATGCAGCGCCTGTCTGGCAAGATTTTGCAAGGCCATGAGTTGGATTCCCTGTACTCCCCAACCAATAAAAAGTTACAAACAAGTAGTTGGTGACCACAGCTCTAACCGCTCTCATCTATGTACAGCTTTATCATTTTATTGCTGACCTGGTGTTCTACCAGAAGTACCTGCTTGGCTCTCACAGGATTGTGCTCCCTTCGAACACGTGGATCCTTTAGCTACCTTCTCTCTCTGCCTCTGTTCTTGTCATTCCTGGTTTCTCTACACCCCTCCACTTTCCTCTGAAAAAAACTGTACCCATCCTTGAAGGCCCACCTCAGGTACTGTCATGGATCAAAGTTACTATTTGCAGAGGAATATAAATCTTTCCCCACGCCTTACCATACTTAACATAAACATGTTGTTTTGCTTTGTTTTTTAGTACCAGGGATTGAACTCATGACCTTGTGGTTGCCAGGCAGGTGCCACTGAGCTACACCCCCAGGCTATAAACATGTTTTACATGTTAGTCTCTTTAGATGTGAAGGCATGAAAAGACATAGTTGTCTTAATACGCTGTATTTTTTTTTTGTCTTTTTTTTTTTTTATCGGTAGGGGGGAATCGAACTCACGACCGCCTGCTTGCAAGGCAGGTGCTTATGGCGCTGAGCTAAACCCCCAGCCCCACTATGCTGTATTCTTGCTCACTGTATCTACTTAGTATTTGCTGCATTGATTTTTAGGAAATTCCTTATTATACCACTAAATTCGGTAGTTTGGGTGGTAAAATAGGAATTGATTTTGAATATGTTGAAAACACTCTTGCTTTTGAAAACTGCTTACCATAAGTTCACTAAGAATATACGTGAACTTGTGTTGTCCTCTTTTACTTAAAACAAAACCCATGACATTTAACTACTTGGGCCTTTTTATTAACTAAGCTTCTAATTTTGGTGGCCTGATGGTTCAAAGATGGAAAATTGCATCCATCAAGGCATGAGATAAAATTTAAGTATCTGTCCTATAAAGTCCAGTGAAAAAAATCCTCTTCTATATTCCTCAGATTCTCCCTCAACCCTGTTCTCCCAAATATTCCAAGAATTGCCTTGTATCTGGGACACTGCAACCTTATCCTATCTGGCCTTCTGGACTTGACCCTCCATTCTAGCCTGTGTTCTAGTGTCAGGTAAACGGCTTTTACACATTTCTCAAAGACTTCACGTCACCAGTCGGCAGAAGCACTGTGTACCTATGTACTATTCTCGGTAAACTTTTACTACACAATCATGAAATTTAACACATGTGCACTTCATTTTATGCCAAATACTATATATGTAAAATTTCCATGTCCTGTTAGTCCAATCCCAAAATAGCAGGTTAACCCTGTAACATGGGAAAATGTACCCACAAGGAATGAAAGCACATACTTACATAGAAAACTTAGCACTACAGAGGCTGTGATTAGAAAGTTTTAAGGTGACCATCACTGTCATCCAAAACTTGTTTTAAACCATTACACAAATCATTAAGATCACTAACTGCTTAACATGTAAGGATTCTTCATATAAAAATACAGAAAAAAAGAGGTTTCTAATCCCACTTGCTTATGATACGGAGACAAGAGTATTGAAAATTGGAGACCAATTTTCCGCTCCCTAGCCACGCCTCTAGTGCGAAGGATCACAGACCTTCCAGCTAGCAGACAGCTGCTCCACTATATCATAAAGTCCCAGATTAACAAAATTAACAAAGCCAGGGTACACACTAAGATTATTTCAGTAGGAATCCAAGTTTTGGGAAAAGTATACTAATTCTTAATTAATTTTAGCAAAGTAAACTAAATAAAATACACTTTGGGTGACCTGAGGTAGATCAGGTCAAATCCTGATGATATAATTCTTATAACCACTAGAGAACATAGAGAGAAAGGCCCCAAGGAGTGTAACTCTCCTATAAAATTTGAAATTATTGCTGGATATTTAGCTCAGCTCAACTGCCTTGCAAGCAGGCAGTCGTGAGTTTGATCCCCAGTACTGATGAAAAAAAAAAACAAAACTGAAATCATTCCCCTACATAGCATTCTTGTAACACACCTTTTTGATGACACTAGGATTTCATGATGAAGACTGACAATAAAGGATTTAGCCAATGTCCCTCCACGAACCTCTAAAGTTTTTAATACACTACACTATGCTAGCCAACAATTCTAAAAGGGTAATATGCTATATAGAGAACTTAAAAAGTGTATCTAATATACTTCCAGAGCATTTCTAGGGAAAAGTACTCTAGGAACTCGTTTTGGGTTCCTAGAATACAACTCAGTAATGAACTCACTACTCTACAAATTTTTTGCCAGCCATGCCTATAATTCTAACACCTGGAAGCCTGAAGCAAGAGGACTGTAGAGTTCAAGGTCACCCTGTGAGTGAGTTCAAGGCCAGCACTAAGCACACAGCAACACTTTCTTTCTCATAACAAACAACCCCCCCTCCCAAAAGACATTTTAAAAAGTTAACCCAATTTCTACTAAAATGAAGGGCCATCCTACTGATGCTTTAAAATGAGGTATCTGTGATTTTTCTTTTCTCTTTTAAAATGAGGTCTTGCTATTGTTTCCCAGCTTGGTCTCCAATTTTCAATACTCTTGCCTCAGTATCATAAGCAAGTGGGATTAGAAGCATTGTCATCACAGGCCACGGTAATTTTTTTTCTTTCTGTTTTTGATAAAGGGTCTCGTTGAGTAGTTCAGGCTGAATTTGAACTATGTAGAACCCAGGCTGCCCTCAAACTCACAACAGTCTTCCTGCTTCAGCCTTCTTAAGTGTTGGGATTATAGGAGTGCTCCACCACACCGTTATTGGTTGCTTTGAAAACAGGAATTTCTTTCTCTTTTTTTTTTGGTATACAGGGGTCAAGCTTGCCAGTCAGGCACTTTTGCCACTGAGTTAAGTCCCCAGCACCCCCAAAACGAGAATTTCTTATGCTGGAAAATTTGCTAAGTAGACCAGATCAGAAGATCGTTGATTTCCAAAGGTTTGGTACAAATTGGTCATTCTCAACTCAAGATATATACTAAAATCAATGAAGAATTCTTTTTTTTTTTTTTTTTTTTCAAAAAGAAGATCGCCACCACTCAGGTACCATCACAGACCAATTAAATACAACTGTATGTTTGTGTGTATTTGTGGGGATAAGAACCATTGTTACCATGCCCAGCTGATTCCAATATGTAACTAGAATAGGGCCCATTTAAATTTTGAATTTAAATTCAAATTAAATTTTTGAAGAAGAGCTGCTGGTTATAGCCAACCAGCAAATATACTAGGGGGAAATTTTTTTAGTTTTGGCAGTACTGGGGACTGACCACAGGATATTTCCACTGCTTCCCTAGCTTTTTACTATTTTTACTTTGAGATATGGTCTGAGTCACTAAATTGTCCAATCACCTGAACTTGTGATCACTCCTGCCTCAGCTTTTTAGTTGAATTTGGTTTTTTTGGACAAGTCTCTGGATCATAAACACATACTTACATTTAGACTCAAGCAAAGTACTGCAGTAAAGATACAAGAAGGCCTTAAAAAAAAACAAAAAACAAAAAACCTTTTTTACTGGTTAGTGGATGTTTTTCCCCCCTTGATGCTAGGGACTGAACCCAGGGTCTTATGCATAGTGTGTGCTTCACCACTGAACTATACTACCCTCCAAGACCTGGTTAATGGTAAAGTACTTCCCTTTTTCTGATGTTGGTTACCCTTGTGATAATTTATATTGGCTATATGTTCCAGTCAGTCATTACATGGAGAAATAAACTAAAATTACTTAATCTTTTAGAAACATAATCAAGGATTCACAAACTATGGCATTTATTTCAGAGCCTTTGCTTACATTTATACAATATATTACATAATTCTTCATTGTTTGCAGATCCTAATATATACTTTATAGCTTTTATTCTATAAGCTTCTTCAACATTTTGCTGTCAACAAATCTTTACAGTCCTGTACAAATTTGAATAACTTGAAACCATTTTCAACAAAATTAGTTACTATAAGCACACACTACAAGACTGAAAATGCTTTTCTTAGAAAAGTTAAATGTAAAGGATTAAAGTTTCTGACACGTTAGCATCTACAACAAAACGCTTCGAAATTCTCACGTCGTATTGCCAGAAAACAAATAAAACATGCCAGCCCCATTCAAAAAAAGTACATAGAACTACAATTAAAACAGTAAAACAGTCTGTACAGTAAAGTACTGTGTATTAACAGTGCCAGATATTAAATAGCTTCAATGAACACATCTGCAATATACAAATGTCTTACAAAAGTGAAGAATTAAATACAAGTGCCAAACAGAACAGAGATTGGAATCATATAACATAAAGTCAATACAAATGAAACAATTTTGCGCTCATTCTGGATTTTATACAAGGCATACAATTATAGGCCTACCACCCCAATTAGCTATTTATACTTAAAATAACAACCATCTTTCTCAGGCAGTTCATATAAACAACCTTCAACCATACTACCACTTTGTTCCTGAAGTCCTTTTGTTGTAGCTCATAATAAAATAAGCAATACAAATGAATTATCTGTATTTAAGGGAAAAGAAACATTTACAAGAAAACACAAAAATATAACTGTTATAATTCATTATGAATAAATATACACTTTGAACTGGCTAGGTACAATCTATACATTGTTTAAGATTTAATACAGTTTATTAGCCATTTTCTTTTTCACACAATGTATATCAAAATTAAAAAAAAATACTGATTTAT